ACCCAGTGTATGCTCCTAATCCTAATCCCAAACCAATTCCTCCATAGGATCCACTGGAAACGCGACTCCCAACAACATTTCTTGACATGCGCAGTAGAGAGATAAAATCATCGTAAGCTCCAAGGTCAGTTCGAAGGACAGGTTGAATCAGGTGCAAGAAGCTCGTGGGATATGAAGGAGAGACCGGTTCCGGAATGGACGATGATTGTATTGAGTCCGAGTTATACATATTCTCGTCCTTGCGATCGGTTTGATGCAAAGCTGGAGTTGATGGTGCGGTGCCATTTGTTTGGTTTGTTTGATCATCCTGTTCCTCGGTCATGTGTTCCATAACTTGCTTCAACTCTGCCAACTGTTCTTGTTGTGACTTTAGTAAATTCTCTGCCTCCTGAAGTTGTGCTTTTAGTTGATCGTTCTTTTTGTTCACGATATCATATTCCTTCTGTGCTTGCTCTCGAGCCGTGATCACCATCTGTCAATGTTAGCATTTATTGCATTGAATAGCTTTATTCAGACCAACCTTGTTCGCCTCCTCGAATAAAGCTGTGGTGAGGTTCTCCAATTCTAGCTCGATACTCTTCTTTTCTTTCTCAACTTCCCTTCTTTTATTCCTCTCTTCTGTCAAGATCGCATTGAGTTTGGCCTTCTCGGCTTCGGCTATCGAGCTCCTTATCAGTACTCCATTGGATACTAGCGCTTTGTGCTCTCTATTTTCCCGTTCAAGCTGCTTGTTTCGTTCTCTTAAAGCCTCAAGCTCATGTCGAGTGGCGCTTAAACTATCGTCGAGAGTGGTCTGCTGATTTATCGCGTTTATAAGCTTTTTGCTCAGTGTTGTAACCTCCTCGCTCAAATGTGCATTGCTCAGCTCTTGATACTGTTCTTGATTTGAAACGGGGCCGTCGATTGTAGGCGATGAGACTCTACTCCGAGGGTCCGGAAGAGTGCTCAAATTCTCCTCGTGATCCATATAGGGAGCGAAGGCCCTTGGCGTAGGTATTCCCGGGGCGTTTGATACTGTAGCCATCGTAGGCAGGGTAGTAGTCGATATTGATTTCGTTATCGTCTTTGTAGAAGAACCCGAGAGAGAGCGGATGTGTTGTAAGGACCGACGATGATTATATTGAGTCCATCCAGCAATGTGGATGAAGCTGTATGATAAGTTGCATTGTTAGTTGTTGTTGTTGTTGTTGTTGAACATGATTTGATTAATTTTTTTTTCTTTTGACCATATGAATGAATGAGATTGATCAAATCATTATGATAAAGTCAAGTGAAGTCAAGTATAATGCAATATAATATAACAAACTTACTCGGACATTTGATTCTTTGAAGAGGCTTAGAGCCTCGTTCCCGATTAGAAAGCCACCAAAGAAATGCGAGTTGACGATTATTACGTAGTAGATTAGCGGCAGTAAATGTGCCTAATGACCTAAACCAGGAAGGTCCTTCAAGATCTCGGAGTCTTTCTTTACTGATGCTTTTACGTATCGTATCGAATCGATGAAAGGTGGGAAAGACAGAGCAAGAAAGGGATTGAAGATTGATAAAGTAAGATTACAAGAGGAATCAAAATTGGAAGAAAATGTATGTAAGGAGAAAAAGAAAGAAGAACCAGTAGAAGAAGAAGAAGAGAGAGAGAGAGAGAGAGAGATAAAAGAAAAGGAAAAAAGTAAGTACTTAGATTGACTAAATTATTATTACTCCTATGAAGGGTGTGTGTGTTTGTGTGTTGAGAGAAAATCAAAAGTTGGGAGAAAGTATAGCAAGTGCTCGTACAGTATTATCGAGGTGTGTTTGATCGGGTTATGAATTTCCCGATAATCCAGATAATAATACGTAGATTTGCCAGGAAAGGAAAACGGAAAACGACGCGGCGTCATACGTCTGTCTAAACGCTGGATGATACGACCCAATCAAAATCCCACTCGGATGGGGGATACAAGAAAAGGGAAAAGTCAAAAGTCAAAAGAAGAAGGAAAAGCAAGGAAAAGGGAACAGAGGGAACAGAGGAAAAAGAGGAAAAAGAAGAAGAGAGGAACCAGAGCAAAAATGACTCTCTGGTAAAAGAGAGACAATTTGTAGAATCTTTCAAAACATAATAATGGCATGTAATGTTGTTCAAAGTATACGATTATGCGAGGATAATAGGTATTGCATAGTACTTATTACTGGGTATGTATGTAGATGTACTTCGTAGAGGGTTTGACTGTCATTTTAATTACCTAGTAGGATTAGGGGGTTACAAAGAGAAAGCATCCATCATCTCCTCACGTTCGATTCAAAAGGGTCTTGTCTCTCGGTCTTGGTATCAATCTATCAATCAATCAATCTATCTATCTGTCTATCAATCTATCTATCTATGATTCTAACCCAGGGTTCTCTAACGAATGGTATGCATATTTGACTTGTTCAGACTTACTTCATGCATGCAAGTGGTCTACATCGTATATCATATCATACATCGTACTCCGCACTTCTTTTATTAGGGGTTGTTGAAGAGGGGGACAGTTGATACTAGGAGACTAGGTCGATGGGTACTACTACTATCCTATCTGAGCCTATCCAATGAATCAATACATTGTAGAATAAAAATAATCAATTCGGTGATATCAATATCAATATCACTCTCACTACCTCAATCTCAATCCGTCAATAATTCATCATCCCTGATACTTCCAAGATTTTTATTAATTTTCATAAATCACATTTCCATTCGATATGCTTGCTTGTGTCAGCTCATCACTCATCACTCATCACCCATCACCCATCGCTTATCAGATGAAGAAGAAAGGCTCGGAAGGTACGACATCCCTAGTATCCGGTATCTACCATCCCAGGGATTAGCTTTATGAGGAAGGTCTGAACTCATAAGTCCCGAATAGTTTTGTCTCGCATTTCTTTTTTGGCCGGCTTCTCCTCAGACCACTCCGTAAGTCATAGCACCCATCTTACTTTCTGATATCCTTCCATTCAAGAGTCAAGACTGAAATGGGCAAGTCGAGATTCTCGAGGACTTAATCTTGGAGGGCTCGATCCTCACTACCACTATCTTTGCTAAGACACATCAGAACCTCAAATAGGTAACACTTTCGTCCTTACTTATTATGTGATAGCGTATACAAATACGCGCCCCCCCTTCAGACTCTTACCGTGGCTATGCTGCACCCCCCGCAAATTCGTGCACCAAGAATGTTAACTTGTGCGCGGCTGGATCTCTCGCCTCCTCGGCCAGTACCGATTTTTTTCTGGTGCATTGTCATAACAGATGCCAGCTGGAGATGTAGATCATTCACCAACGATGTGTGGAGTACAGCTTTTATAGATCATGCACAAATCCAGGGTATTATATTGCTAGTTGATATCTACTGTCGGTATGCTTTCGGCATTACTATTCTCACTCAAATCATATCCATTTGACGCCCAAGGAACATGAAAAGTGATTGTATAATTTCATTCTCTCAACAACCACACCAGGATAAGAAACCTCATGTAAACTGCACCGATCCAGACTCAACATTGTGAGACAAGTATAGGAAACTTATCGCAGATCTGCTGAATGGCATGCATCATGGAAAGGAAAAAGAGGTAGGGGGATTGTAATGTATTCAAATGAGGCTGCATCCAGAACATAGGAGACTCTGGATGATCAAACGCCAAATTCGACGGGGATTGTTCTTGGAACACTTGTGAGGGCTTCGGAGAAGTGGGAAATCTTCTACCTAAGCGTGACAAATACGGCTCCGAAGGAATGGGGAGATGGGGAAGAAGTAATAGGAAAAATCGTTGTTCACTGAAATTTGCTGCAAACACATGGCCATGCATGTCATCGGATGCTGTTGGAAACCTATCAGATTCTTGAAGGTATTGCACATATTTAATTTTTATCATGCAACGCTAGAAGCCTCTGACCCTCATTGTATCATATCCCGCAAAGAAACCCAAACAAACCCCAGCCCAGAGCTTAGATAGTCGTCTCGTATGCGATTGGTACAATTGTCTCTGGTACGTTATCCTTCATCGAAATGGTTCTGGCCTCTCTTGGCATGGCTGGCTGTCTCTTCAAGTGAACGTGGGTGCCGTCGGCCTTCGATTGCTTCTTCAGCTCGGCGTTCTTCTTGACTCTGCGGACGAACTCCTCTCTTGAGCGGGAGAGGGAGACGTGCTCGATTCTGAGGTTGACACGCTTCTCGATGTATCTGTGCTTAACCTTCTTGTAGATGATAACACCAACGGCGCTCTTGGTGACGTTGTAGACGACACCAGTCTTTCCGTGGTAAACCTTATGGGGCATACTGAACAGAAGTCAGTACACGAATTCGTCCTCCAAGTATTCCACCCTCTGCTCGCAAACCTCCATGTCGATTCTTCCCCGGAAATTTATATATGATGGATAATTTTGACTAACCCCTTTTGAACAGCACCGTTTGCCTTGATATCAACAATGTCACCGACCCTGAAAATAAATTAGTATTTTGCGATATATCGAAATTGCGTAGAAATGGACATCTACATACTTGTATTGTCTCAAGTAGGTCGACAACTTGATCATACCATGATCCTTGAAGTTTCTGCTGAATGCATACTGGAAATGAGTTAGTTACTGCTCTCGAGTCCAAGATTGCCGTCGTCGCATCGAGTTCAAAGCTGCGGCCGTAGCAATCCTCTCCAAATAGTGCAACTAAATGGAAAATAATGAACTCACCCGAGTACCGGCGCGGAGACCTGCTGGGTGACCCATTTTGTCGATGTAGGATGGGTATTCGGAGGGAGGTCGAAGTTATTCAGAAATTGTCGATAATCTTTCTATTGCAAATTGACGCTGGTATCGGCAACTCCAACTTTCAAAAATCTTCGCTTAAATTTGCGCCTTCCCACTTTGGTGGTAGCTCGGGTCAAATGCCCTAATTGAAATTCCGGAACATCGAAAAATTACAGGAACAAAATTTACAGCCAGCGATCAACAACCTCACGACGACAATCGACTCGACGTATTAGCAAAAATGGCCCCGTACGTATTGTCCATACTCTGAAGCTTCAGATTTACTTAGATCAATCTCGAAATTATCTGGAGTTTTTTTTTGGCTTTGAATTGAATCGTTTTGGGAAAATCACCTCGATCGCAACAAGGCCAATTTGAGTTCGTTTGCTAATATTTCTGAACAGACGTTCATACTCCAAGACCTACAAGGTCCCACGTCGTCCGTAAGTTCTCCATCGATTACATGTTTGCGCTTTGTAATTTATGCTGACAATTCTATAGCTTCGAGAGTGCTCGTTTGTAAGTGGACCACTGTTCTAGAGCTTGCTCTGTTCAAGTCACTGATTATTTCCTAGGGACTCCGAATTGAAGATTGTCGGAGAGTATGGTCTCCGCAACAAGCGTGAGGTCTGGCGTGTCCAGTTGACTCTCTCCAAGATTCGTCGTGCTGCCCGGTATGTGAAGTGCTTCAATTCGAAAAGTTCTCAATGTGCTAACAAATTCAATTCAGTCAATTGCTCACCCTTGACGAGAAGGACCCAAAGAGACTTTTCGAAGGTAACGCCCTTATTCGTCGTCTTGTTCGTGTCGGTGTCCTCGACGAGTCCCGCATGAAGCTCGATTACGTTTTGGCTTTGAAGATTGAGGATTTCATGGAGCGTCGTCTTCAAACCTGTGTCTACAAGCTCGGTCTTGCCAAGTCCATCCACCACGCTCGTGTCCTCATCCGTCAAAGACACATCCGTGTTGGTAAGCAAATTGTCAACGTTCCATCATTCGTTGTCCGTCTCGACTCCCAAAAGCACATCGATTTCGCATTGAGCTCGCCATTCGGAGGTGGACGCCCAGGACGTGTCCGCAGAAAGAAGGCCAAGGCTTCCGAGAAGAAGGATGATGATGCCGAGGAAGAAGATGAGGAATAGAGGAACATTTTGATACCAAAATCTTTCCTATCTACATCATGAGGGTTACACTTTAGCAGGGGTTAGGGCCGGTTACGCATGTAAAGCAGACATCTCAGCGTCGAGCTATAAAATAAAAGCCGTATTCCATGATGAATTATTAATGATCACTTTTTTTTTAATGATTTCATTGTTCAAGAATATACTATTCGACGAATAATTTGTGACATGATCAATCTATCATCAATATTGGCATATGGACAACAGTATTATACATTAGCTTCTCCAAGTACCAAAAGCTATTTTTCCATTTTTGATATCATCACACCGAACTGTTTTTGGAAACTGAAAGCGGCTTGAGATTGAATGATCAATGATGGTTTCGATGGTTGAAAAAAATTGTCTAATTATTTATTATTGAATCTGCTCGTCATACTAATTCGTCTTTTCCTATGAAAGCATTCATTGGATCGTCGGCAGCTATACGCTTCTTCTTCCATGCATCCATATCCTCCTCGGAAACACCAGAGTGCATCTCTTCCGCAGTGCGTTTCTTCGTCTGTTGTGTGATAGCCGAAGGCTTTTCCACCTCGCTCCTTGCTGGTTCGACCTCTTCTGTGTCCTCATCCATCAGGATACCTCCTATTCGAGCACGCTCTGCATCTTGAAAAGCACTTTTACCTGCTTCTCCAACACAGTAACTGTTCTTGACCAGCGAATGACAACAAGAATAACCCCATTTGAAGTTAGACCACCAACTTCCCCATACAGAGGTGTGATTGTTGGGGAAAATGTCCTCGGGATATTTAGACTTCGCAGAGGCCTTCGGTGCTCCCTTGATTCCACCCGTCTCATCATATTCCACATATTTTTCAGACTCCACGACGGCTGCATCCCTAAGCTTTGCAGCCATAGGATTGCTGTCTCCGCCATATTTCTCCAAGAGCATTTTTTTATGCGCCTGTCGTTTGGCCTCGGCCTCTTCCTTCTCCTTTCTTCTATAGTATTCGCCAGAAGTAGGGTTGGCTTGTAAATGCTGTTTTGTGTCACCAGCCTTTTCCTGAGACTCCCAGGCATACTTCTGTGCCTTTTCAAATTCGGCGGCATCCCCAGAAGCTTTCAAAAATCCTTCTTCCGCAACCAGTGCCGCAGCCGTATCAGCAGTCGCTCCACTGTCCACCATAGATCTAGTCTTTGGGTCATACTTCGCCGAGTCCAGGTCCAAATTCAATAGATATTTTGCCGTGTCCTCGCGTATTCTCAGCTGCCTTGTCGATGTACTTTGATGTCTGCCCATATCTGATTCCTCGGCGTATTTTGCGCCATCATCATCGCCATCCTCATCAGCTTCTTCTCCATCTTTGCGCTGACCACTCTGTAGTTGCTTTTTCAGTTCTTCTAGCTGTGCATATTCATCTGTGACGGTCTTGTACTCTTTCGCATCGTATCCATTCCATCGATCTCTCTTTGCATCCCATCCCAGATCAACGTCCTGTATAACTTCATCTGCCTGTATGTCCTTTCCGGTCCATTTGGCGCCTTTTGCTCTAGGTCTGTTCAAACAATCCTTCGCCTTGTGTGTCATTGCTCCGCAATTTTCGCATGCGCCTTTTCGAAACTTGGTGGCTGCAGGACCCAGTTTCTTTCCACGATCATACCATTTTGACTGATCTAATTGGGCCTTTTGAAGACGCTGATGCTCGAGGTAATCGTTATTATCATCGTCGCCGATATAAAATGGCTTCTTTGCAATAAAAGCTGGGATATACTCGTTCTGGTCCTTGTTTGCCGCAGATTGTTCAGGCTTTCGAGGTTGTGTACCTGCGGGAGGCATTTTGAAGGTTTTGCTATATCAGAAAAAAACGCGATTGTATCAGTTTTTGGTATTTCAGTAACAGTACGTATAAAATTCGATGATATAATCGAAACTGTAAATTTGGTTCTGGACTAAAGAAAATAGGTAGGTGGATGTAGGAAAGGGAGGTGGATTTAGACAAGAGAGGATGTGGATCGATGGATAAACTCCATTGGGTAGCGGTGATAAGGTCTGCCCTGTCAGCACTTCTAGATTCAAGTCTATAGTCCCGTGACTTGGCGTAGCTTCGTGTGCGCGTTCGCGTTTGCGCCACTCAGATATGGTAGGAGAAAGAGAATGAAGATAAAACAGGAACGGCACTTACTACGGTTTTTCCCTTTTGTATCTGAAGGTATAGTGAGAAATGCGAAGTCATGAAAACTGACAACATCGACTCTCGCTGGGTGCCTCCATCCTAACACGTCCAATTGCCATGGACCTCTTTCGAGTACGTCTCAATTGCATTGATCATTATCAAGCTACACCTTCTCAACTTGATCCTCAATTAAAACGGAACATCAAACCTTCCGATCTTTACAAAGAGCCAAAAGTACCTGTCATTAGGATTTTCGGCTCAACGGAGACAGGTCAGAAGGTTTGCGCACATATCCATGGAGCATTTCCTTATCTATATATTGAGTATGAAGGCTCCCTCGATCCCGACGAAGGTTTGTCTCCGCTAAATCTCGATTGTTGTCTTGATGACTGATGAATTTGTAGTTGGAAGTTATATCCACAGACTCCATCTTTCAATTGATTATGCCCTGGCTGTGAGCTATCGTCGCAATGCATATGATGGAAATGCCAAATTTGTCGCACGTATCACCTTAGTGAAGGCGGTCCCATTCTATGGATTCCATGTTGGAGACCGCTTCTATCTTAAGATCTACATGCTGAATCCCATGGTAATGACGCGTCTCGCGGACATTTTGCGTCAGGGGACTGTTATGAAGCGAGTATTTCAACCATACGAAGCCCATCTTCAATTTCTTCTTCAGTGGATGGCGGACTATAATCTGTATGGATGTGGATATATTGATTCTAGTAAGGTTACATTTCGAGGTCCAGTGCCTCTACATAATGAAATTTCCTCATCAATGCACCTTTGGCATGACCGCTCAATACCTGATCATCTCATTACGAATGACGTGTATCTCCCTCGGGTCAGCCATTGTTCCTTGGAAGTTGATATCTGTGTCCAAAATATTCTCAATAGGAGGGATGTCAAACCACGTCTGCTCCACCATGACTTCGCTCAAAACCTTGGCCCTTCTGCCCCCGACGAGAAGTTAGTACAAAGCATGGCAGGCCTTTGGAAAGATGAAACCCGACGTCGAAAGTCTAAAATTCCGAATGCAACGGCTGGTAGTAGCCCATTCCCAGCCGAGGTAATGTTTTCTATGTCAGCAGACCCTCGACATTCCCAGGATGGTGGATGGTTGCACGAAAGCGAGTACAGGAAAATGGTCAAAACGCTCATCCAAGAAGAACGGAATAGAGGCGACCCTTCAAAACCAACTTTCAACACTTTCGTCAAACCCAAGCCCTTCGAGTCTTCCGTGAAAACTAGCCTTGAGTCGGTGGAAGACTTGTACCCGGAGAATCTTCGTCTCGCTTTTCAATCAGTGTATGAGGAACAGGGCCATCACAATTTGCATGGTCACCGTGGAGAAAGAGAGGTGGACGAAACCCTTATCGTCGAACTTGTAAACGGCCAAGAAGAAACTGAAGACTATTACGATTCTGATGAGGATATCATGAGAGGAATTGAGCTTTCCCAGAAGCAGAAAGGGGATTATATTGACGAAATCCTACACAAATCTCAAACAGATACGATGTTTGGTGACGAACCCTATTCCAATGCTGCTTCATCAGATGAATTGCAAGCGGTTCAGCTTGAAGAAGGCAAAGATCATCACAATTTTGTACACTCTCAAACAGCCTCTGCTGTAGCAGATGCTTTAGCCTTCAAATCTGCACAAATCAGTCTATTAGCTAGTCAGATTGATTCTGATTATGATAGCGGTCACAATCACAGGGGCCAAGACATTAAACTCGAATGGAAGAGATTACAATTAGAACAAGAACTTCCGGACGCGAAACGGCGGAAGACCATAGCTCAGCCCTCATTACAACTATCTCCTACATCATCTCTAGGACCAAGTGATGAACCTATTGAGCAACGAAGAAGCTTGGAGCCCAAGCCGCCTGGTGCTAAGATTTCCTCTCAAGACTCGCTGAATTTCCCTGTGACGAAAGATTCGCACGATTCGAGCACAAAGCTGAAACCCGGTCAGCGTTTTGGGGGTCAAGATACTCCTACAGAAAAAAAGCGCGTTTCTTTTCTTCCCAATCAAGCATCTACTACGAAGAACTCCGTTAAGGCTGTAAGCATGTCAAACTCCACAACGATATCAAGCCCGGTTCGAAAGCTAGGTTCCTCTGATCAGGATAAACTTTTCAAGGGAATCAAAGACAGCTTTGGAGCCAGTAGCAATTCATTACTGCTGGCACATCATCAATCTCCCCCATCAGCCCATTTTGTTTCTACAACAATGTCAAGTTTCGATCTGCCCCTAATCCTCCATCAAGATGCCTTTTACAGTAGAGAAGAAGATGTTCCCGAGCGCCCTAGGGAATGGGCGGGTAGAGAATTCAAACTTGGAAGCACGAGTGTGCCATTCCTTCCCGACTTCAATCCGTCTGCAACCTCAGACGCAACTTTTGGGCTTGGGTCTGTTGTTCTCCCCGATAGATTTAAAGACGAAGAAGTCTATCATCATCGGCGCCAGGAGTGCAGTCTTCGGGCTTGGACTTTTACAGAAACTCCGCCTAGTTATGCCAAAGTACACATTTGGGCTCGCAATGAGGAGTCTAAAATGAATGATAAATCCGAGAAGCCAAAGAGGGGCGTACCTTCCAATTCGGTTAGAAAGCACCGAAAGAAAGCGAAGCTTTCACAAATCGACGGCCCAACTCAAAAGAACCCGCATGGCTTCAAATACACACAAAAACTAGAGACTATTAACATTCAACGCGAGGCTCAATACATGAGTGTGATGAGTCTAGAGGTTCACGTCAATACGCGAGGGGGTTTTGTGCCCAATCCCGAAGAAGATGAGATTCAGTGTATTTTCTTCTGCTTTCTAGCGGACGTTAACGGCAA